AAAAAAAAAAAACATAATCTAAAGGTTAGCTAATTAGATGGACATCCAGAAATGTAAACCGTTTAGTGTTGCTAATTGATACTGAATCATACCTTCACAGCCATTAATGTTCCAACGGGAGTAAATCGTGCTTTATAGACGATACCGCAGGTACCACAACCAAGTTCGCCAATTCTTTCAATATCTGTTATGTTAGCATCATACACGACATCATTAATAGTTAATTTTCCAGACTGTCTTTTAATTTTTTCCACTCTTCTCTGTAGTTTATTCTCTTTAAGACTTTTTTAAACAAAAAAAAAGCGCTAAAAAGAAATATTTCGCTTGATTTGCCTGTATGAAACAAAGCTACAAAACAAATCAGACAAAAGAAGAAAAATGATTAAAGAACATAGTTGATAGATATGTACATATTACTTGTTTTTTTTTCTGCTAAACAACTAACCATTATTTCCTCATCATCAGGTGAAGCTTTTTGTTGAGCTGCTACTTGAGCTGTAAAATCAACAAAAGGTCGTAATTGAGCTTTTCCATTTGCTGCAATATTTTTGAAGACAATTACCAGTTATTTACACCTAACTTATTATATAATATGCAAAAATTAGTGAAAAAGAAAAAAATTAATGAATAAAATACATATACGTCAGTGGAGTTTTCTACTGATAAAACTCTTCCCTTGCAGATAGAGTAAAAGTCAAAGAATAACTTTCTCACTAATTTATCCCCTTGTTTGAAGTAAAAAAATCGATCTTCTTTAGATTATTAACTTGACAACTAAGTTTGCTTTATAAACAGTGTATCGTCTGATATAAAGTTTACGAATATGTTTCAACAAAAACTTACTAAAAAAACGACGAGGTAATGGTGTACTTCTGGGGGACTTTTCTTCAGCAGTCCCAACATTGAGCCGTGATAAGACTCGACTTCGCGGTTCTATACTAGTTGATCTATGCGTAAAAACATGACGATTCCATGAACCAAGCCGAGTTTGTTTCCATTTTCGAATTCTTGATTCAAAATCTAAACGATTCATAGTATTCAACTGAATAAAACAAGCGTGTAAAGATAAAGATAAGGAAAATAAAGTAAATTTAAAATTTTTATTGTTTAAAGACAGATGAACAAAACCAAAAGATCATCGTATATTTCCTGTTCCAACTATAATTTTTACAGTGATGTTTAACTTCTTATTTTTTTTCGTCAAAAGACATTAGCATTGTATAAGCATTGGAAAAAAAAAAGATAAAATCTAAGAAAATTTCCCAGTGGTCAGTTTTTCAGTTATCTGTTGTGCTGTCCTTTTGTAGCGCACTAATAACTTTTCTAAACAATCATATTCTTTGATCATTTAAACCGGTTTTATTTAGAAAAAAAACAGGCAGATTGTACATATAGTTCTTCTAGATTTCCATCAAAAAAAAAAAACAGCGCTTGATTGCTGTTCTGTTTATAAGACTGAAAACTATTTGCAACAGGTTTACAGCTAATGAAACTTAATAAAATCTCTAACAAATGTCATATTTTGCAAAAGCTAAAGAAAAGTAGACAAAATTTACTTAGTATTATAATTACAATTACTTCTCTTTATCACTTTTAAATCAGAATTATCAAAAGTGAGTGAGGCTGCTGTTGGGTAGTTTTAAGAACAAAATCTTTAAAATAGCTGCCCAAATATTTCATTTTATTTGGTCAACAGTTTCATTTATTGTAACAATTAAGTATATGAATTCGATAGTCACCAACAGTTAAAAGTTTTATAGTTCCCACAAAAATTAGCTGCATTTTCACCGACATAATTGGCTAACAACTGTCAAACGATAAATTTCCGTCATAAGATTAGTTTTAAAAAAAATGAGAGGAAGTACAAAAATAAACCAGTGATTTCTATAATGTTGCCTACACCTGCAAAATTCGACATTAATACTCGTTTGCTCTCAAAATTTATTCCTTTCCTTTCCCTACAAAGTTTATTTGATTCAGTAATAATTATGGCAATAATAATAATAGTTAATTTATAGCTTTCTCTTTCTTTTT